GTGTAGGGGCCATGTAGCTGGGAACTGTCTGAGACTGGGAGCAGCTGGTGATGCTCTCATCGTCTCTAGCTGAGCCGCAAATGCTATGCCTACGGTGACGGCATGGCTGCTCAGATTGGATGCTCATGATGCTCCTTGTGTCTTCCTCACCAGATGCCCTCCTCCTTTGAATTGGTTTGTGTCCCTTTGGTGAAGGATTTCTTGTTCGGGGAGTGATCTCAGATAAAGCATGGCTGGCAGAGCTTTTAACAGAGCTTTTGTCATTGCTGTCCAATGGTCTTGCAGCCATCCACTGTTCTAACCAGCTCCAACCCCAGTGAGGGTTGCTTGGGTCCATGAACGTTAGGTGCCCAAATTTGGAAGCATTCTTCCATGTTTTCTGAATTGCATGCATCAGCTAACACTTGTGGATATTTATCCATAATGAAATCTGGAAGAAAGACTGATGAATGAAGACAGAGAGCTTACCTGATGAGAGAATGAATAGGCAAGGGCTCGTTCTCTTCTCATGGCGGCTGCATGCTTGTTTAACGTGTTGGCATCGATTTGCTCTTTAGACAGAGCGCTGTCATCCCAATTGTCTCCAACCTATTACCAAAGGTATAACGATTGTTAGTTCTACGTATAAAATATCTTGTTATAAACCCAGAATGACAGTTGAAGAATCTCAGACCAATCGTAGGTGATATTAATCATCTTGTACGACGATTATCACAAAACCTTTTGAGAACGAAACACAAGAAGAGATTGGAAACATGCAGAAGCGTAATGAAGACCCGGCGATATCAGGTGATCTTAGATCTTGTATTGCTTTACCTGTTGCCTGGAGAAACGCGTTTTCCCATAAAAACGTTCACAAGAAAATTAACATTTTCCGAGTTATGGGAAGAGCAGTGCAAATGCTAAGAGGAAAAGCAATGAGGCAGGGTTGGATTCCAAAGACAGGGACCAGAACAGAGCATAAACTATATAGATAACTTTTAAAAGATCTTTTTTAACCTTCTCAAAATCTTTCTCATGTTTCTGATGTTGGAGCTGTTTTATATGAGCCTGCTTATCATCTGAAAGTCGTAGCCTCCTCTCCCGGATCTGATACTGAACTCGAGCAAGTGTCTGCATGCATAGCAACATTGAAGTTGCTTGACGTCTCACTGACTGCCCCTGGATTATGGATTTTAACCTCACCAGTCCCCTCAAGGCACGCAACCCTCTTCTTGCCTGAATGACCCAAGAACTTGTTTCAACAGTAAAACATGCAAAATCAACAACCCAATTTCTAGGAAATTAAGCTGAACAATTTGGTAAGACGACCAATCATGAAATCCTTTAACAGTGTCCAACAAGTTCCCAAAGATATGTAAATTTCACTCATATGAAAGCAAAGGGAGGAAAATTTCGCACCATGTAGCCTCTAAATACTGTCTGAATCTTGATGGCAGCGATCTCTTCTTTCGGCTTCCCAGGAAAACGGGCAGAAGAAGCAGTGAGACGGACAACCTCAGCAGCAGCTTGAGCGG